GTTCGTGAATTTCATTGAAAAGCAAACCGAGTCAAAGAACCCTGACCCACCAGTGAAAGAAGTTGAGACAAAAGAGAATGTACAGTTCATTGAAAATGTCAAGAAACAACTTCCACCACGAATGCCAAGAAGAAGAGTGAGAATAATGAAGTAAATAGATATTTTTATCTGAAGTAAATACATGCAGAACGAACAGTTAAACGAATTTACTCCAGCAGAGCATATTCATCAGATTCGCTCATATTTCGATATCATAGACAATGCAGTTCAAATTGGTGACACTAATAGAAAATATTCTGACGCAAAGATTCCATCACAACCTGGAACTGCTAAAGATAACACATGGGTAACATTCAATCTCTCACCTCCTGGTGAAAATATGTTGGACCTTTACAATACATTCATTACGTATAAAATGGAAGGTCAATTTATTGTAGATAAAGAAATTGGTTCAGGTTCCAATAAAACAAACCCACCAGGATTTTGGATTGGTTTCGATGACGCTTTCTATGCAGTTGCTGGATATCAAATCCTTGCAAATGGTCGTATCGTATATTCTCAAGACAACGCAAGAGAAGAAGCATATATAACTTCAAACTCACAAACTACCGAACAAATAAAGAAAGTAGATGTTTTCTCAAAGACTCGACATGAAGATGTATGGAGTCATTCGGGAACATGCAGAACAGGACAAATTGTTAGTGGTCCAATTACAGCAGGAAAATCATTTGATTTTAAGCTTCGTTTAAGAATTCCTGTTAGAAAGTTTTTACCATTAGAAGCTATAAGATTTATTCCTGCATTTGCTGGTAACATTCAGCTTAAAGTAAAGTTCAGTAGCGACGCATTACAATGCACATCTATATCTGTAAATGATATCATTGCTTTCAATCCAACTCTTAAAGTTGCATTTGCTTCAGATTCAAATCCACCGACAAATAAATTTGTTCCATGGAATGAACCATTCACTATGATAACGAAGGCAGTAGAAGCTAGTGGAACAGTTACTATTACAACTGTAACCCAGCAACTATTTCGAACAAAGATGGATTTTAATGAATGTTTCATTCATCCAAAGTCATTCTCTTTAGACCCTAACATTTATACAGAACTTGTAGAACATTATACAAACGAGGCTTTATGTTTTCCTGTTAAAGTTATGGATTGGATTCCTATGGACGGTTCATTCTCAAAGAATACAGATAGTTCAAGTGCAACATTTACAGCAGCTTATACGCCTATTAATGTTAAAAGTATTTGGGCACTATTTAGAAAGAAAGACAACTATTATGTTAATTTTGAGAACCCTAAGTTTAAATATCTTCAGCTTTCCATGGGAGCTTATGGAAATATGCCTGCAGAACCTGAAAAATCATATGGACCTGTATTTTATGAAATGGTTGCGAACGCTTGCAATACAAACAATGATATGATAGGATTTAATGAAGATGTTATGAGGTCATTGGTGGATGATGGTAGTGTGGAACATAAATGGGATAGCTATGACAACACACATTTCTTATGTGGTTTTCCAACAGAAGTGGACTTTTGCTTCCAGCAAGGTCAAACATCTACTGCTCCAATAACATACAAATTGTCTGTTAAAGGACCTATTGAACTAGCAACTGAAAATGTACCAAAGCCACTTATTGGATTTATGAGGGATTGTTGCTTTGCCATTCAGGTGCGTGCTAATGGCATCCAATAATAAGATTGACGACTATAACTTAGCACGGACGACAGTGAGGAATAAAGGATGAACGTTTATTTTTAAAGCTTATAAATGAGTTCTTCATCAAGCTCTCGTGAACCTTCACCATCTATGAAACAAACTTTACCAAACGATTATGGAGCACCTATTGAATATTTCTTACGAGCTGCACAATGGCAAAGAGCAGTCTCACCAAGGTTAGGTGTTCCACCAGCTCCTGTCAAAAATAGCATTTGGTCAAGTCCTTATATAAGATATGGTCTCCCACTAGGTTTGCTAGCTACAGCAGGAGCAGTTATGATGTTGAAAAGAAATAAAGCAAATGTTGTAAATAATACTGAAGTAGCTGAAGTTAAACAAACTCCAACACCTTCACAAGCAAAACCTTCAATGACTCCTGAACCTATGGAAGTACAAACTCCTGTTCAAAAGTCAACTCCTAAACCGACTCCAACATTTAAACCAGAACCTACTCCTCAAATAAATCGTAAAACTCCTGCGTTTCCTTACTGAAAAAATAACGTTATTTTTATTTAATATTAAAATTTTTATTTGATTGAAATGACAAATAAAGTCACTGAAGCAATGAAACAAAAGTTTTTGGTAGAATACATTAAATCAGGAACTATTCCAGAAGGTTTTTACATTCATACTATGAAGGATGGTAGAGTTCAGTTTAGAAAGATAAAGCAACCATTAGATAGAGAAGGTATATTAAGGAAATTAAACTTCATGAGGACAACATTGCTGAACTTAAGAAGAAGTTAGAAGAGTTGGAGAAAGGAAGAGAGTTATAAAGCAATGAATTCAACAGGGTGAAAAAAGAGGTGAGATCTCACCACTTCACCTAAATTTATTTTTGTGCTATGTTTTCATACGTGTGAGGGTGGTGATATCATTTATTTTAAGTTTATTTTTTATTTTACTAAAAATTTTTATTTGGATGTAATGACAGAACAAAAGCAACTCATACAAATCAAAACATATAACAAACATACATTTAAACATTTATTCTTCCTTCCTGAGCATAACATGTTCTTTCAAATACATCCGAGACCAGTTGACTTTTCATTGACTGTGTATAAAGATAGAAATAGTTATATCATTAAACCATACGATGACGAAGGTAAGTTATGTAAATTGTACGTTAAGAAGTTAGAGAAAGTTTATGGCTTCAAGTATGACTACAATAGGGTTAACACTGATGATGAAGATATTGAGGAAAATTTATGAGAACATTAGTGAAGTTGTTAGTGAGAACGATAGTGAGGTGAAATTGTTGGCGGCTTTGTAAATATTTAAGGTTAAGTTAGTTTTTGCGTTCATGTTGTAAAATATATGTTAACGGTTTTGTAAAGTGTCAAATTCACAAGTACTGGGTAAGGTGGAACGCAGTGCCACCATACCCAAGACTTGTATACTAACTACAAAATGGTTTGAATGTTATACGACAACACAATTTGAATTCGACTTTCTCGAATTCAACGCAGCAACCATTCATATCATTGCTCTTTACCTTTCCGAACAACAACAAGACCTCGCAGATGGAGATGTTGTTACTGTCGTCATGAAAACTCCTGAACAATTCGGAAAAAAGAAGTCTCTAATTGCCAAATTCGTTCCAGGACATCAGCTTTTCCAACGCACAGAAGTCTTCTGTATTCCTGGAACTAAGTTCTTTGTCAGGAGCGAACTCAAAGAAAGATATAATGTGTCATTCAATTACACATTATATAATGTTTTCGACCCAGAAGAAGGCTTCTTCCCAGAAGCAATGGAGGAGGAAGAAGAGGAGGAGGAAATACAAGACTCTATCCAAGAAGAGTCCTCCGAATTCACACCAGAAGACTAACAATTTTCCGAATAAAAACTTCATTTATACTAAACATCTTCGGGCTAGAGGGCGCAACGCGCCTGGAAGCCCCACTTACTGACCTAAAATCGAAAATTTAATAAAGGAGAGATAAAATTATTGTAGTATTCAATTGAAAAATTTTATAAAATAAGGAATATTGGTAAACAAATAAGTTTCATCTAAAAAAAGGAAAATAAAAATATAAAAATTGAAATAAAAACAGAAATATAAAATATTTTTAAAATGCAAAAAAGTTTCATACTAATCGTTTTTGTATAATATTTATCATTGAAAGATTATTGAAAGATATTTTGAAAGAAATCGAAAGAGTTAAGAAATATTGAGAAGAAGGACAATTGAATGATTTTTTGGCCGATTGTGCTATGCAAAGTTGATGATAATTGCAGGAAATTTTGAGATTTTCGAGGTTTTGGAGGGTGTGAGTACTATTATATGTAATAGTATCTCACACCCTCCAATTCATCCTATGGCGTCGAGAAAATTTGGTGAAATGCGACGACATTTCACCAAAATTTCTCGGCGCCATATAGAGAACTAGAGTCTGCGAGGTACTGATTCTATCTATGTACCTCGCAGACCCTAGTTCTCAGCCAAAATGGCTAAAAATTGCTCGTATTGTTTGCCATGTAAACTGTCACTTTTTGAGGAGATTTGACGTTCTGTCAAATCTCCTTTTTTCGTATATAAGAATAAAACGAGTCCTCTCAAAAATGTCCGCCTTTTGAAAGACTTGATCCTCATCCTAAAGTTATGCAAATTAACCTCAGAAATTCAAAATTTGCATAACTATATAATTATTTCTCTGCAACGAATGCATCAACCATCAACGTAGATAATACACCATTTACATGGTTCAATTCAGATTAATAAATGATAAAACAATACGCAATGCCCAACAAACAGTATGGAGTCCATATTTGGAGAGAAGTGATATCATTTATTCAAAATATTTTCGGTTTTAATAATAATTGGTTGCATGTATTTGACTGATAAAAAATGTAAAATTTCGGATTGCAAATTGAAAATTGAATGAAAATTGATGTCATAATGATCCGAAATTGATATCTCTTTCAGACGATCCATTCGGATTTTATGTAGGATAAGATCACAAAATAGCAATGGTATGCCTTCATTATGATGGCATATCTAAATTATTCTTTCAGTTTCATTTTCGTATAAGCTCAAAAGGAATGTTTACGATTTTGATCATTTAAACTCATCTTTCTCATTGATTTTTTGATCTGTTAAGCCTTATGTTACATTATTTTCTTTTGAAAATGAAATGTGCTGTGATTTTCTCTGTTTTGTCATTTTTTGAGGTAAATAAACTTGGAACGTTGATCTTATGCGTTTGACTTGCAATAATGCAAGCATTTCATATGATTCTTTGATAAAATTCGAGATCAGAATTAATCAAAAGATGTAGCTAACTTTTGTACAGTTGTCTCCGAACTCGTCAACGTATTCATCTTCGTCATATCCGTAACTAAAGACTTGAAATTCGGCAATTCTCTTGTCGAATGACCGTTGGATGTAACGAGGAAGATTTTGACGAACTTGGTATAAAGTTCTCAACATTATAAGCTTAGTAAATGTTGGAAAATACTGAACTAAGACATCGCTAAGCTCAATTGGACTTGGAATTGTCTTAGTAAGTTCAATTGAACTAGTAATTGCTTTGTTCAGAACTTCACAGAACTGAGTATTGTATGTAGCGTCTGGTTGTGTGTTTTCTTCGGCGTCTTTGAGATATTTAGAGCAAATTTGTTGAAGAATTTCTCTTAATTCGCTGTTAGACTTTTTGGTGGTTATTCTAACCGCTGTGCCGGTTCTTGGAGGTTGTGGGGCTTTGGCTTTGGTTAGCGGTTGAGAATTGTTAATGTTTGAATTGTGGTTAACAGCGTTGGCTTCCATTAGATAAAAATGAACTGACCAAAAAAAGACAGATATTTAAATATTTGAAATAAACGGTTTTTGTCAACGGTAACCCCCTCTATTTTTTTATTTTATTTAATAGTTACCGTTGGCAAACCGTTCCATCTCAAATATTGAATGAACTATAAACGTTTTTTGTTTTCTATATATACTTTTTTGTCCAACGGTAAAACTTTTTACACAACGGTTTTTGAGAGTCGTCGCCGTTGACTTTTTTGTAGAGCACTCAAAATAGTATAACTTTGTCCGGACAAGTAAGGGTCTATCGTCGCTACAGGAAAAGTTACAGGCGTTCCAAGGAAGTATACTTTGAGAAGCCTTTTCCCCTTATAGAATGAGATAGGACGGTTATTTTACAAAACTGACAACACTTTGACCGAGTAGTTTTTTGTGCTGAACAAAAAGTGTCATATAAACATCTGTCAAAAACCGTTTTTAACTTCACTTAAAATGCCACGTAAGCTACGTAAGAATATACGTAAGAGGAAGGGAGCATTGAAACATCCAATAGTAAAACTGACACCACAACAACAGTTGCAACAACAAATGATGAATGACCCCACTATGTTGCAACAAATGTCAAGCAACCCTATGCTTTTAAACCGAGTTATTGGTGCACAGAGTGGAGGTTTAAGAGCGGCACTTTTAGCGAAAATGGCAGGCTATGGTGGAGCTGCAGACGGAACAGCTTATAACCCTCAAAGTCAAATGAATTTGAGTTCACTCAAAAATCAAATAACAGATGTCAAAAAGTCAAACATAGACATACAGAAAAAATAAGTGAAAACGAAAAGAAACTAGAATATGACAGACACACAAAGAAACTCAATGAGTTAAACGTAGAGAAAAAGAAGAAAGAAGAACAACTGAAAGAACTAAGTACAGAGGAATATGCGAAAAAAGTGTCAGAAAAAGCAGCAGAAGTAGCAAAAATGGAACAAGATGTTATAAATTTGAAAAACCATACTACTCAATATAAAGTACTGAAAGATGAAGAGATAAAACAAAAAGCCATGAAGACATATATGGATAGCGATGAATATAAAAAAAGAAGTTGAAGCAAATGTAAAGGCAGAAAAACTTTTACAGTTGCAAAACCAAACCGTACAGTATGAAAACTTAGCACAAGAAAGTAAAAATAACGACGCAGCCATGCAAAAGGCAATGAAAAGCGCAGATATTATAAAAGCTAATAATGACTGGTTAGATGCCCAAGCCAACGCTAAAGCAGCCCAACTTATAGGGTCAATAAGGACAAAAATACAAGCGGATGAAGACAGTTCAAATGAAGCTTTAATGAATGCTGACTTTAAGAATGCCTTCGAAGCTCTTCATAGTAAGGTGAAACTAGTGAACGACTTCTCATCTGGAAAGAAACTGAAGTCTGAAGGTTTCGACAAAGAGTTAAGAGAAGTAGCACAAAATATGACGAAAATAACAGATGCAGCAACGAGACAGGCAGTTCAAAGTGCCTATGACGCCGTTAGAGCAACTGTTGTGGAAAGTCAAGAAAAAGAGTTACAACAGACCAAAACAGACCTAGTAAATGCTTTCTTAAGAACGAAAAGTCAGGTAGGACATTATGCTGCAGATGGAACATATGTGCCAGCTGGTGGAACTTATATACCACCAAACCCTCCAAGAGAAGCACCTGCACCAGGACTACCTAAAACATTTACATCGTCACATGGACACAGACACAGGCATGCACCAAAACCAACACAACAACCAACAATTCAAAATCCAGCACCACAACAACAACCAAAACCAACAGTTCAAAATCCAGCACAACAACAACAACCAAAACCAACAGTTCAAAACCCTGCACCACAACCAAAACCAGCACAACAACCACCTCCACAACCAGCACAGCAACCAACAGTTCAAAACCCTGCACAACAACCAACAGTTCAAAACCCTGCACAACAACAACCACAAACAGAGCAAGGACATAAAAGAAGTAGAGAAAAAGGAAACCAAGAATTCTTAAAAATGCTTAAGGAAGATTATGGTTACCCAGATACTCTTGACTTTAGTGACAGATATAAAGAAGCTATTAGAAAGTTCAAGGAAGGAAATACTGACCCGAACCTATTTAGCTTTATGGTTGAGCATCAAATCGGATATAATCTCAAACCTGGAAAATACAAGCTCGCTATGGGATATGATTTAATAGCATATCATCCAAATGACATGAATGAATTTACTCCGAGATATTTGGTGTCAGAGCTAAATGATAATTCAACTCTCTTCATGAAACGCGTAAAAAATAGAGACGGAACGAAAGAAGAAAGGTTTATGAGTCCGGATGACTTAGATAGGGAACTTGTTAAAAACGGTCTCGGAATATATGAAATGCCAGCAGATGAGGTACAAGAAACTCCACAGGAAGAAGTTCAGATACAACCAGACATGGAAGAAATAGTTCAGCAACAACAACTAGAAGAGCCTGAAGGAAACGAACAAGTCCCTCCTTTGGAAACTAACTTCACAGAACTAGATGAAGATTTGGAACAGCCGAAAAATCTTGACCCTCAACAAGTGTATGCGGAGAATATGGAATCTTTCCAAGAGTCTAAGAAAAATTCGGCTGACATAGTAGAAGAATATCGAAAAATGTTCGCCGACATACAAAAGACTCCAACATCAGATGAAAATATTCAGCATAGAATGGAAGTACTGAAAGAAAATGTACGCAAATACAATAATCCTTTTTACTTACGACCATATAACGTTCAATCTTTGGCTGAACTCGGTGAAAATAAAAGGTTAAATTTCAACAAAACATATAGAAATGAAACATTGTTTAAAGTTCATTCAGAACCTAACCAATATGGAAACAAACCTACTTTTGTTTCTGCAGACTATGGAACTACAATGAGATGGGGTCATAAAGCTAATCCGGATAGGTGGTTCATAAACTTACAACCCCAATTCCAAGAAGTTGTAGACGCAATGGAAGTGAATGATGAACCAGATATAGCTGGTATTTTCAGCGCGGCTTTAATGCCATTGAAAGATATGAAAGATGCAGATATTTTGGACCAGTATGAAATGAACATGGCTGATGGAAATATAACACCTGACGTTCTAGAACATTTATCTCAAAGAACTACACAGAAACCATAGAGATGGTATATTTGGTGAAGAGTTTAGAAAGAAAGTTAGGGAGAGCGAAGGAAGAGAACCTATTGTACATGACCTTGCAAACGAAAGTTTGCAAATGTCATAAAAACTTACTTTGCAGACAATGAACCGAGAATGGATGAATATTTAAGAAAACTCAAATGGACAGTACCAAATGAAATGTTAGTATGAAAAACATGTTCCTTGACAAAATAAAACCAACTACAGAAATAAATGACGCAAGACTGAAACGTTGGGTAAAAGCTTTCCCATTCACAAAAGATATTATTGGTAACATGGAAAGAAAACCAGAATGGCTACAAAAACATATATTTGGAAACGAGCTTATTCCATATGGACAAGCTCTGTTTGAAGAGCTTGAAACCGGAAACTCAGGAAAGAGTCAAGCAAACAATAAGCGAAGACTCAAATACAAACTATGACAAAATCTTTCTAGGATATAGGTTACCTGAGATGGGCGACCAGAGCCCAAAGGCAAAAAGGACATGGGAAATTTACAACATACTAGGTGAACATGAGGCAAAGATGCAACAACTTGAAGCAGAGGGCAAGTTACCAAAAGCGACACCAAAGAAGAAGAGTAGAACAAAGTGAAAGTAGTGAAGAAGTAACTTCATCTAGTGAAAGTAGTGGCAATGAAGGAAAAAGAAGAGTTAAAAACTCAGTCAGGAAGAAAGTAAAGCTTGGTACGAGTGGGTTCTATTATGACACATAAATTCAACTATTCTATATTTTTACCCATATGAAATGTACGCCGCTCAGAATATAACACCAACAGTTTTGGATGCCATGAACGGAAATGTTTCCGAATGGTATAACGAATGCGACAATGCCATTAGAAGGTCAGAAATAGTTCCTGGAACTTACGAATATACAACTGCTGTTTCTTATGGAAACGTAGGTGAGTTTGGAGAAGGTTCTTCAACAACAGTAGATATTGCTTGCGACAGGTTTCATATTATTTCTATTGACAACTCATTCTTATACGTGGAACAAGACATTGAAATAAAACCTTCTGCCAAGTTGTCTGACAAGAAAGGTTGCAATGGAATTTTCTATGTCGGATACCAAATGCTCCAGAAGTTTTCATGGGATATAAGATATATTCTAACTCTGACTTAGTTCAAACAGTAACATGGGCAAACTATGAATGGTTCGCTTTGAGAAACTCAGTACAACCACAAGCTAGAGAAACAAACAGACCAGTATGCAAATATTGAGAAAATAAGAAGACTTGACCCTAACGTTCCAGGAGTTTATGTTAACCTTTCTGGACAAACTGCAGCAGCAGTAACCAAAGTAAAACTGAAACTTAGAGTTCCTTTGTCATCTTTCCTCATCTTCAGGTTTTTAAGATACTTGCCAAACTGGGCAGGAAAAATTTCTATCGAACTTACTCCAAGCAAAAATAACTTAGTCATTGCACCAACACAAGACCCATTCAGCATTACTGTAGCTGGAACTGGTGGAGCCAAGTTCTGTGACTTTTGCAAAGACAAAGTTGACTTAGACTTTGGTTTCTCAAACCTCAACACTGAAGTAAACTATTATTTCAATGCTGCTGGAGATGCTTGGGACCCAGTTAAGTTCACATGCGAACAGTTTGAATGCAAGAGAATAGAAAGCAGACTTGCAGTCTATATGTTGGACCCAGATATTTCAAATGCTTTAGCTGCCAAATATATTGCAGTTCCACTTATGTTCCCTATACACCAAATATATGTCAAAGACTTTGCAGGTGAAGTTGGAAACCAAAATCCAGGAGCCGCAGGTGCAAGAACAGATATTGCTTTAACAACTGCAATGAAACATGCAGATACTATGTTTGTACT